GGGGGGGGGGGGGGGGGGGGGGGGGGGGGGGGGGGGGGGGGGGTACGTGCTCGTCGAATCCGGACCACAGTAAAAGCAGGGGGGGACTCCCATCATTCGCGCTTGTGACGTATCATGCACATGTCCTCAAGGAGAGGAGGCAGGAAAAGGTGCGCCACAAAAAAATACAGGCGCAATCGCCTCCATCCCGAGCACGCCGCTTCGAGAAACGGAAACAATCCACCGAAAAACCGCTCATATACCTCCTCTTCCTCGCACAACACCGGAGAGGGACCCTTACCAGGGCGGCCTCAAAAAAATAAATTGTGGGCCTACAGCAGCAGAAAGCACGACGGGATACTGTACCAAGGGCTGCTTCGCTTGAAGGTATCGCTCCTCTGCTCCTTCGACTATTCATTCGTCAAGGAACCAAAAACTACCAACTACCTCCTCCTTCCCTCGCGCACCTACCTACTACTACACCACCAACAACAACTACTCCGTCTCTCGTCGTCGCTCGCGCACCTGTCGACGCTGGGGTGCAGCACCCAGAACGTGATGTCGTTCGTGCTGGTGGCCTGGAACATGGTGCCAATGTGTCCCGGGGAGCACAGCAGGTACATGAGCTGCTGGTAGATCTGGGTGCTCTCCTCCTCGGAGTAGCCCGGTAGGGTGAACAACACGTCGCCCTGTGTGCGCGCGCGGACGTGCCAAAAAAGTAAAAATAAACGCCGTTGCTGCCATCGAACCGCGCTGACGTAACCGGCCTACCATACATACGGGCTCGATGGAGGTTGCGCGGCTTCCTGGGAATCGCGTGTCTACTTTCATGGAAGCGTGTGAAGCTTGTGTGAAATTCACCAATATCGACCTCCATCGAAGCTTTCGATGTATGTAAAAAAAAATGTAGGTTGCCCGCTGTTTCTCTGCTCTCTCCTCTCCCAGAAATACTTTCGCTCGGAGATATGAGTTCGGGCAAGTTAGATTCTCAGGGACCGCCAGCAGCAACCGCACCACTGGCCGATGATGTGCTCGTACTGATCGAGTACACGGAACCGAGACAACACTAAACTGCTAAAATGAAGTGAACACGCCCTACTCGAGCCAGCCTTGTAAAATCCACCGCGCGGCGACATATCCGCTAAAAACAAACAGCTTCATACAGGCAGCGCCGACGATACTTCGCGTTGATTATCACAATCTATGGTTTGTTGTGTTGTGTTACAATCACACAAAAAAAGTAAAAATAAACAAAGTGTTGCCCCTTTCCGACGGCGGCCGTGGCAAAAGTTTGGTCGATGTGAAGAAAAAGGCGGTCACCTCGGGGAGAGGGAACGCGCGCGGGAACGCGAGTCGCGCCTCAACACGAGCCGGGGCAACCCCTTCATTCAACGTCGGAAATATCGTTGGTGGACGCCAAGAATCTATCGGAGCGATCCTTTCTCTCAGCCAAAAAACAAGGCAAACCAGCAGTGGGTATTGTTCAACCAAAACGAAAGGATAACAAAATCGTCACACCAGAGAAAAAACCTCACGTTTTCGTCCTCGAAGGACGAGATGAGTTCCCCCGTGGAGTCGTAGTATGAGACCGAGTCCAACACCCCGGACTCCTTCAGCACCTGCGCCGCCGAGCGGCTGCCGATGGCCCCGGCGTCGCACTGGCACTGGCAGTCCTGCCAGGGGGTGTCCATGGAACAGGTGTCCGGGCAGTCCAAGAAGCCCGATCGCCAAAGCTCTTTGCTGAGCGCCTGTCCGAGTGGGTGGACGAATCAGGATCGCGGCGGGGAGGAGGGTGGGGGGTAAGGGGGTTGGGTTCAGGGTGTGTGTATGTGTGTGTGCGTGTATTTGTGGGGGCGGGGCACTCATGTCAACGCAATATGCCGTGGTCGGTAGACCACATACCTCGTATCCCTACCACGCTGGAACGGATAGCGATACGCCGGGTTGTCACCGGCGCAGGCTACATGCTATGTGTGCGGGTATTTGTTGCTTGCCGTTTCACGCCTTTGTTCTTTTGTATCATCATCCCTGACGGGCACGGCGTTTCCATTGTTGCTGCTGTCGCTTGCCTGTATCTCGTGAGCGAAGGTCATGACACTGTCATCTTGCTCCTCATCGAGCTCCGATGCCTCGTGGCCGAAGTAGTGGTTCCACGAACCCCCCATCGTCTCGTGGATGTGCCCGTGCGCTGCGGCGTTCAGGACCTTGGAAAAGCTCATCCTGCTCATCATACCATCAACACAAAACCAGTGACAGGCACGAATGGCGAGAGAGGGGCGAGGGTCAGAACGTGTGTCACCGTGTGTCGCCGTGAACAGCAGAGAGGTAAGAGAGGTACAGAACCAACTGCAGTTTTCCAATCACGATGCGACAGCAATCATTACAAACAACTGAAAACAATCTCTCCGCATTGGTGTGAAGGCAAGGCAACCACCTTGTATTTGAATGAAAAAAAAAGACTAACGCTACTGAACAAGAACAACAAACCCACCAATCCTGATTTACGAGGGCGTGGCTGTACTCGAAGCAACCGGAGGGCTTGAGGTTGTTGAAGAATCCGTAGATCATCGAACTCCTCGTCATAAAGGGCGAGGGGTCGTTGTTCCACGGGGACCGCAGGACGCCGTACGAGTTGTAGATACTGGAGAACTCCTTGGCGTTGGCCATGGCGGGGGCGTACGCGAACCGCCCCTTGGTCGGGGTGTGGAGGCCCTGGTTGTTTTGTCGTTGTCGTTATCATCGCCGGTCGTTCGATCGAGAGGAAAAGAAAAAAATATGCGTTAGGTCGGGGGTCTCTCGTCCAACACGTCTTCACAAAAACCTAAAAAAAACACAATGACCGCATCAATAGAAAAATCCAAACATCCTAGGAACACCAATACTGCTGTACCAGCATTTTTCAAACAAGAAGTTGCCCCCTGTCCCCCTTATGTTCGAAGCAAGTACATACGAAAACATTCGTTCTCCGACATTTTTTTCCTGCGGGGGCATGTGCGGGTTTTTCTTTTCCTGACGTCTCTGCCCTTGCATGAATGTCTCTATCCTCTTGCTGCACCCATCTCTTTCTCTGTCTCTCCTTATCTCTATCTGTCTCTCCCTTTCCATCCTCCTCTCTCTGTCTCTGTCTCTGTCTCACGTTATCAGGAGACGCCGCGCCGAACCAGTCGTCCGCGAAAACGCCGCTGGAGCGGAAATCCGACGACCCGAAGAAGGTGCTCTCGAGGGTGAAGTCCCAGTAGGGCACCGTAACGGCCGGGTTGATCGCCTGCAAGGACTGCTCGAACATGAGCGTAAGGGCCATGTGGGAGGTCACGAAGCCGGCTCCCTGGTGCCAGTGGTCGCAGTTTTTCGTGCCGCCTGATGTTTTTTGGCGGAGGTGAAGAGCGGGCGGGCGTTTGTTGGGATGGATATAGATGGGCGGGTTGTAAACACCTCCGAGACAAACACAAACAAGTAGCGACGAGGACAGACGCGAGGATGCTCACACACGTGCAAATCAACACCGGCGACATAAGAGTGACACGTTTCAACTCGACGTAAGGACGCGGCCAACGGGTGTGTGGGGGCACACGAAGGATTAATTCGCAGCGCCTTTTGGGCTTTTTTCACCCCACTGCTGTTTCCAACTATCACCACAAAATCTATGCCGCAAAACACCGCATGGCATCATTCCTTCATACCGTAGTACAGATTCTGGGAAGTTCTTACCAGAGTCCACGACCCACGAAACAACAGAAAACTCCACGAAACCCGAGGGGCCCATCGCATGTCGCACAACAACCATCGGACCAATGAAAACACCGCACCTACCGCACCAGAGGTGTGCAGCACGCACTAACGCCGTGGACAACGGAAACCCGTCGTTAGACCACTGTATATTTCCACAAGACAAAATACATCGAACCAACATGTGGCACGGCAGTCGCCAGCTTTTCTTACCATAGTAGAGGTGAAGCCTGGTAATGTAGTCCTTGCTGTAGTAGTTCGACCCGTACACGATCTGTCCAACCCCGCTCGGCACCCTCTGCATGACCGCCACTGCGTTGAAGAACATCTCGCGGTCCTGTTAACCCCCCCCCGCCGGGAAAAAAGGTGAAAAATAAATCAGTTAAGACAGTTTCGTGCGATCGATTGAACGGTCGGTCGGGCAGCAGAGAAACGAGAGCGTGCTGAAGCGAAAAGGGGTCGGACTCGTTTCTTGTGCAACGCGTTTGGCGGATGGAGGAAGAGCGCAGCACTAGACTTGCGTCTTTCACGCCCGTCGTTCCCTCCGGTTCCGTCGTCGGAAACCGTCGTTCTTACCATAAGATAACAGAGGCAACACCCAACTCTCCATCACCGGCATCCCTACCAGAAGCAGAAAGACCAAAATATCACGTCGATAAATAGTACTCGCAGCAGAGAGGCAAGTGCAACAGCAGGGTACACGATCACCCCCCCACCCGCCCAAGGATGAGCAGCACACACGGCGGGGCCGCCGGCTCTTTACCTGGTCACTCAAGGAGCGTATCTCCCTCCTCACGTACTTCACTTCGACCGTGAAACTGTAAGGCCCCGCCACTCTCGCCGACTCCTCGTTGCCCGTGGTGCCCCCCCTCAGGGTGGGGTCTTTTCCTGTCAGGGTGGGGTCGAAGACGACCACGGAGCACTGTCATTTTGATTGACCAATCATTCGGCAGACGTGGCGGGAGGGAGAAGGCACAAGATGAGGGCGTGGGATGCGTACGGGGTTAGAACAGCGAGGGAGATCATGTGGGCGGAGGGAAGCAGCTGCTATACATATGACGGCGGTCGTTTTGGTGTGTGTATTCGATACATGGGGAGAGTCTACGCCCGTCTGCCTTGAGTATGTATCCGACGGATTGACGTCTGCGTGTTGGGTGAGCAAGTGAGCACAAGTTGGTAAAGGAGGGATGCAGCAGTAGTAGCACGGGGTAGTAGCTGTTTACCAGAGTGGAATCGCAACGACGCTTGCCTGTTTTGCTGCCGTACGCCAAGCTCTTGTCTAACAGCTCCTCAAGGGGCCAACAACGGAATACCTCAGCTTCTGCAGCAAATTTCTTCCGATGAGCTATGATCACAACAACAAACACACGTTTGTGTTGCCACAAGACTGTTTAAGACGGGAATGACTCGTTTCCCACGCACACAAAAATTCGTGTTGTGCATGTCTGTTAGCAAACAGCCCCGGCCCACACCAAAAAAGCAGTCGTCACACGTGGTCGCTATCCAGAGCTCCGAACCGAAAACACGGCTTCTCTGTCTCCAGAATCGGGTCTCACCTCGTATGATCCAACCGCTGTAAAGAGCACGTCCACCGATCGACCGTACCCTTGGAGGTGTCCATCAACGTCCCACCTGGAGTACAAAGCACGACGGACGAAAAAACACAGAGTCATTAAACAACAATGACATCCGATTTTCCAAGGCTGGGGGGTGGGGCAGGCAGGGGCATTTCGCCATCCTTTGGACTGCTGGTTGTGGTCTAATACGCGCAGCGCGCAGCCCAGTGTTTTTACTTCGCCAGACGAGAGTACGTCATAAACAAAGCTATGGCGACATGATAGAACAGGTTGCACTAATGGTTTGCGCATGCGGTATTAACTGCGTGCCAACCGCAGTTAGAAAACGGATGCGGACGACGACACAAAAGGAGAAGGACTAAAACTCCCTGATACAACCAGTGCTTGGAGACCTGCTCGACGCTCGAGGACAAGATTCCCACCACAAATCGTGTGGCGTTCGGACGGGCGCATCTGTGGCCATCGTGACGCGACGGATAGCTCGTGGTGTGCTTGTGGTGTGCTTGTAGTCCCATCTACATACGATCTACGATTCTGGGTGCCAGTCTACAGGACCTTTCGGTATTGTGACTAAGCGTGCACAGGAGTAGTTCCCTCGATTATAAAAGTATCAGGACGGCAAACTCTTGGACATTGTGTGTACAGTAGTGGGCCCCCTATAGTGCACTTTGAGTAGTGCAACGGCCCTCAATAGTGCAGGTAAAATCTCTGCGCACAGACGGCGCCCTCAATAGTGCAGGATCTGCACTATTGAGGCAGATACCCGACATAGTGCAGGTTGGGCACCGCGGTGCCCCGCAATCGTGCAGGTGGAGAAACATTCACACACACACGGGGTCCCAGTTCATGGTAGACAGAAGTGTTTTGTGTTTTCAACCGCACTAAGACTGAAGTCTTTTCATTGGTCAGCCGGTTAGCGCGGTCGATGCTAATAATAAAAACACACACACAGAACATGTGGAGAGAGTCGTATTGGCATTCGCATCAAGCGCATTGCGCATTTTTCGAATTTTGGCCCCCTTCCAGGAACCTTGATTTTTACCCGCTGGCACTGACGCCTTTTAATTGGTCAGCCGGTTAGCGCGGTCGATGCTAATAATAAAAAAAAACACACACACACACGCGATCAAGAGAAAAACAAGACACACACTCACGAACAGCGGATAGACGCAACACAAACGCGGCGCGCGTGCTGCTGCAGACCCGAAGAGCTGTACGCAGCGCAGAGGCGCACCATGCCTTGTGCGGACGGTGAGCTGTGCCACCAACCAGACAAGACGCCGCAAGCCCCTCATGGCCACGTCTGTCATGGAGGATGTGGCGGGCGGCTCCACGGCAACTGCGGCAGCATGGTTGGCGACATCGAAACAAGGCGAATCTGCTGCTCGTGCGTCGCAAGAGCTGGCAAGCGCAAAGAGATACCAGCTGAGGGTGCTGAGGGTGCTGGGGCGGGACCATCTCAACGCCCGACGAAGAAGAAACGGGGGAGCGTGAAGGCTTCGTGTGGTGCTCGTGCGCGGGTGGACATCAATGGGAAGCTTGACATCCTCAAGCTGATCGATGCCAAGATCTCCTACGCGCAGATCGCAGACCGCTTCAAGTGCTCTGTGCGGTTTCTTGTGACGTTGAAGTCTGACCGGAAGAAGATCGAGGCGGCAGCTGCTGCAGGTGCCGGCAGTCAGAAAACTGCACGCAAAGCAGAGTTTCAAGAGGTGAGCTACACCTCTTCTTGCTGCTGCTGTGAGCTCGATTTTTAAAAAAGCAAGCTCATGTTTTCCCCCGCCTTTTATTTCTGGTGTCGAGGCTCTCTGTCCCACTTTGTTTTTTTTTCACTTTTTTCTTTTTGTTGTGCTTGTTTTTTTTTTCGCTTGATTTATTTTTTTTCGCCTCGCTGTGTGCCATTCTTCTTTGTCTTTCTCTTTCTCTTTGTTCCTTGTGTTGGTTGCAATTCTTTTTTCTTTTCGTCGCTCGTCTTGCCTCCCTTGTTTCCGATTTCATCGTTTTTCTCAATGTCAATCCTACATTTATTCATCTGCAACGCTTCTTGTTTTCTGTTGCCCACAACGTTTCCAACTGTATATAGATGAAACGGAAGATGGCGGTGGCGGTGAGAACACGGGGCGCGAGCGCCGTGCTCCACCGGCTTATAGTGAGCTGTCACCTCACTTCGGCGTCCTGGAATCGGCAGCAGATGAGAGTGGCAATGGAGACGCGGCGTTCCATCTGCAGAAAGCAAAAATGGCGATGATCGCAGCGCATGCCGCTAAGCGGGTGCGCCAGGCAGACATGAGAGAGTTTGTCGAGACGTGGTGAAGGCGGCGGGTGTACGTGGTTGTTTTTTTTTCCTTGCAGTCAGCTTCCTATGCGCCTTTCTCGTTTCTTTTTGTTTTTTTCCCGCAACATCGCAGCGGGTGCGCCGGGCAGTCATGAGGGAGTTTGTCACGACGTTAGCATCTCACGATAGACCCCTGCACTATATAGGGCCCACTACTGTATTGAATCTGGTAAGATGATACTTCAAGTATATCACATAGCGTAAGAACGCGGTCAACTATTTATTGTCTTTTTAGCGAGAGACAGGAACAAACCAGTGCTGCTTCGTGACCTGTACCGTCTTTGTTGTCGGTGTAAGCGCGAGCGTCATCCACCCCTGCCTCTGATGTATGCACACTGGTTGTGCTCATGTACTGCTGTGCCTTCCGCGAAAGTAGACACCAGGTTTTCAAGATACCACAAGACAGCACAAAACGGAGAGGTTGCCTCGTGGGACACTGTACCCCAAGGCAGTGAGTATGTCAAGTTCGACGGCTGTTGTTGATCCCGCGGCGGGCGACTGCTTTCATAAAAACACGCTAGCGGGTGCCCTGGTTGCGTTGTTTTGTTGTTTTTCTCCCATCATTGGACTCTGTCGTCTGCCCCTCTGGTGCCTATCCTCCACTTCTACCAGCTAGACAACCCAACCGGGGTCACATAGGAGGGGGGGGTTGGACCCCCTCCTGCGGTTCCTGCCTGAGATATGTTTATCGCGTATGCTTGTGTGATGCGTTTGACACGACGACGACACCGAGCAAGGTCCTCTATCCTTTACCACTGCTGTGTTTCCCACTTCTGGAGGTGATTATTGTGGCAGCAGTCTAGATCCAGGACCAGGATCCATAGTAGTCGTTTGGGGTGACGGAGCGTTACACTCACTGGACTCCTTGTCCAGGCCCTTAGTATCGGTCCCACATAGACTAACCGTATTATATACGATGTGCGCACTTCACGCGCAACGCTATTTAACGACGTCCCATATCGATGATCCGTGGTGTTCATTTTCACGTGAAAAACACTTTCCATTTATTTTCTTTTTTGACACTTTGAACCGTTCCATGCATGTTCGGCCGCGCCGGCAGCTTGTTCCGCTGGTAACGTATCTATCTGCCTGGCAACGGCGTCTGTGCTTTCAAGGATAGGCAACTGCCACAAGCGTGCACGGGCACATACCGTGACAGTAGGCCAAACGGGATGAGCGAATACACACAGCAGGCAGCCCGTTGTCGAAAACCGCATCCACTCTCGCGGGAAAAAGCGGTAAACCACTCTTTGTTACCCTTATCTCGTGCCTTTCGACGAGCGTGCTCCCATTTTTCTCACCTGTATTCTAGGTGTTCTCCCGACACGGGCCAGCCCAACAGCTCCATCGTGGAGGGCTTGTAAGGCTCCGCCATGTGCTCCCAAGGGTACAGGGTAATCGGGTTTTGCAGGGTGTACGTGTTGAACATCCGCACTTTGAGCTCCGTCGTCGTCGTTTCTCCGCTACTATCCACCTCCGCCGCCAACTTGGCTTGCTGCTGCTCCCCAGCTGCCATCGCTCCCCCGTCCAACCCCGATTGCTCCACCGGCGTTGACGAGGCGCTGAATGAACCCCTGCTCGGGGATGACGGCGCGATGTATCTCGACGACGTCGTTCCTCCAAGCAACCCGCACCCGAAGAACACCACACCGGCAAGCACGGATAGCATGACGAGATGCCGCCGCTCGTTGCGGAACGCCATGCTCTTGCCACACCGCAAGCTGGGCCACGAACCCAGGCGTTGCTCTCTCATCGCTTCCGTGTCCCGGATCAACGAGTCCATCTCCTCCGCTCTTCTTCTCTTGTTTTGGGGCATAGTGCTCGCTCCACTCGCCACTTCCGGGGCGCAACCACGTGAATGTGTCACGCGTCACGGAATCACTCCTCAGCACTCACGGCTGAAAATGAAAAAAAGCAATAAGTGTGAGAAAAAAAGCTTCCAACGGGAAAGCAGTCCCGTGTGGAAACCCCTCTGATGAAGCGGCTCGCGGCGCAACAGACCTCCACATCCAGCACGGGCTCTAGAGGGCGAACAAGAGGCTAAACTGCCCAGAAAACAAGAGAGATATGTTAAAACGATGCAAGAGCACAGCAGGGTATGTTTCATACGCCCAGAACCACATAGTACGGTGAGAAATTTGGGCTTTAGCACGAGCGTACCACACTGCAGCAGCTCCAAAATCAGCGAGGAAGCTTCACACGCGAACCGACCTCTGGGCAAGGTTGACGTCTTGCAGCCTATTTATACTGCCGACATGTTCCTAGATCTCACTGCCACCTAATGCAGAAGGTTTGAGGCGATTTAGTGCGGCAGGAGATAAGCATGGTGTGTTCAAAATTCAAATTTCGGGAGAGCCCACGCTGGAGATTCGAACGCACGCTCGTGCATGTTGCGCATGTACATCCACTGGATACACGACCCCCATCCAAAGATACCATGGAAATGCCCGATAAAAGCACGCTAGCTCAGGGTCAGGCTATCATAACAAGTTATAGAAAACCTGGGCTTCGATTGGGCAAGTACGTCTGTCTTGAAGTTAAAATTACACTCGGTGCTTTTCCATGGTACGAGTCAAACATGACCCGGGGCGCTCAGCTACGTACACTCCAGACCGTGCATATAGATTGAAACGGTGCAGAAATATCGAGTCGGGCATAGACTATATACTACGGAGATCGACAGGTTCCAGTCCGTCACGCTCTCAAAAACGTAAGCATGCCCATACAGAGGATCGTATATTATCTATGGCTGTCAAGAGACAACGAAGCGCCCACAGACACAGCATAGGTGTACGCCTGCGTAGGCTGTACGTGTCACGTGACATTTTGTAGTTTTTGTCGTATAACATGGCCAGGTATTTAATGCATGGGATAACTGCCGGCACCGGTCGAGCTGTTGACAGATGACCCGTCGGAGAGGTAGGCGGGGCAACCGGACTGGTGGGGCTATCAACCCCACAGGTCAACCGGCTACACCACCGGCTAANCCTGCGTAGGCTGTACGTGTCACGTGACATTTTGTAGTTTTTGTCGTATAACATGGCCAGGTATTTAATGCATGGGATAACTGCCGGCACCGGTCGAGCTGTTGACAGATGACCCGTCGGAGAGGTAGGCGGGGCAACCGGACTGGTGGGGCTATCAACCCCACAGGTCAACCGGCTACACCACCGGCTAAGCCTCGGAACCAGCCTGGGAGTTCTGTTACACCCGGAAGCGAGGGTATGCAGCCAACATGGGACCTCCGTCAGGTTACGGAAGGTACGCTAACCCCGCGTACTCCAGTGGTCGACAACTCAAGGGGAAACGTCACAAGTGAACGTCCATNCTTAACCACTGAGGTGCGCACCCCCACCGCCGCGACAAAGCGCGACGCGAGAGATTCCGGTGCACGCGTCCGTCGGACGGGAGGAAAATCCCGGTCGGGCAGGAAACGCAGGAAGAGGCCCTCTGTTGGTGTCACAGGTGGAGGCCTATCCAATCTTAAGAGCAAGCTCGAGGAGGAGGATTACTACAGACAGCAGGGCGAGGCGAGGAGGGAGGCATCGGCCCGTAAAGCTCGCGCGACTGCCGAAGACGAACGGCGAATCACAAAGTCCGCGGGGAATCACCCCGTTGATTGTCGGCGCAGGAGTCACGGCGGGAATNGGAAAGCCCTGGGTATGGGAGACCGCAGGGCGAGACGGACGGCACCCTACCACCTCGGGCGACTCGGAGGGCGAGGACGGTGATGGAGAAAAGAAGAACGACGTCAGTCAAGGAGAAGTGACAAGTGTCGTTAGGGCCACGAACCGAGGAACAGGCCAGGCATATCGACAGCCTTAACCGCGATAGGCGATCTGCGCATCGTCGGCTTCTAGTGATGTGTAGTGTACGGGGGTGGTGAAGGCAATTTTGCGTGGTCGGCACATGGGTTCGCACGACGTCAAAGGGCTCAGTGGGCAAAGTCTACGGGTACGTGTCGCGATGTGATCAACTTTGTAGCGGAGCGATTTGTTCTTACTCCATATTTCAAGCCACATTTCGCGCGTCCTTGTTGGCGGTTAAACAGGCGCGTGCTTCGCTTCCGTTGGATGCAGCCATCCGTCAAATACGACGACCCTGGGATGCAAGATATCAGGCGGACTAACAGAAGCCTGACGCTGACCAGCCGGCTAGAGCGCGCGTTTTCTCCCCTGTATTTTCTTACCCAGTTGCGCAGGGAAGTGGACGAGGGAGATTATTTTCCCTTCGGCCGCGCTGGGTGTCCGTTGTTTTCTGGCATGGTACTTTGTTAGTCGCAAACTGCCTGAAAGGTACGAGGATGCTGTGTGCGTTCCGGGCCTGTGTCGTACTGACTGTAAATAAGATATTTGTTGTTTCCTTCAGTTCGGGCACGATGTTGATAGGTTTGGGCAACCCGGGGGGGGCGGTCTTGTGCGAGGTGTTCGTGTGCAAGTATTTCCTCGTGTTTTCGACACACCCAACGCTCAGTGCGTACAACGTATGTATTTGTCGTATCCTTTGAGAACAAACCATTAACAATGAATAATGTGTACATATCGCCGGCCGTGCCTGTCTGCGTGCGACCTAAGCACAACGTTATCAGTGACCAAGGTCCCTGTTAGTGTAGCTGGCGTGTTACTGGCACACGTGTGTGCGGCGCAACACAGCAGCAGCAGCAGCAGCAGCAGCAGGAGAGGGGGCACCCAACAGCTGACCACATTCACGAGTACTCCACCTGTAGTACGTCTTGCACCACAATTCCAAGTACTGTACAACCACAAGACCAGCAGCTAACGTTTCCAATACTCGGTGTTGTCGGTGGCGTGGCAGAAGATAAGCATGATGCCTGTATGTCAATGCAAGATTTCGACTTCATCCGTGTCTACGTCTCGATTCCCGGCACCAATCAAGTTGAACTCTGCTGAAATATTCTCTGCAGTGTTTAGTCCATCTTCCCTCAAATTTCGGTGGCGATTGATGCTGCAGTGGGCGCGTTCTTGTGCTTGATCGTTTTGGCGGGTGCACAGCAGTGTGGTTGCGCCGCGTAGATACGAGTCTCACATTTTTTTATGGGAGGGGCTGCGTATTGCGCCGACAAGTTTGAAGCCTAGTGAACGGAATTTGGCAAATCTTGTTTCCCTTGATAGCTACTGGAATAGTCTACTGCTGTAAACATTTAGGCTTGGGTGGATGTCCGCCAGTCGCGCAGTTCCTCTGCGTAAAAGGATCATTTTTGTTCCTCCGCCTACTTTTTTTTTTTTCAGCCGTGCAGCACTGGCCTGTCCTGCCTCGCTCCTCCACTCTCTCCTGGTTACCCCCACAAGGGGTACGTCAATGTGAAAATCAATCATTGTGCGTTGCCCCCAGCCGCTCGTGTTGCTTCGCACTTCGCACCGACCCATCTGATCTGTCTCGTCCGCCGCTCTCTCGATTGCTGCGGTGACACCGTGGCTTCATAGATGGTGCCTGTCGATTTACATGTTCTACTGCAGAAGACATTTTTTCGCCATGGCCGGTCTCCTGTGCGCCTCTGCTGGGTCACGTGCTAGATCGCGTACATGTACCCATGCACTTCACTGCGCAACGTTCAGGCGCGGATATGCAGCAGCAGCAAGACCAACACCGCCCGTGGCTGCAGCAAGGGTGGAGTTTGTCGTGACCCTAGAGCGTGCCGTTGTCACCGACACCGAGGACGGGACCCTATGGAAGAGGTATTGCTTGCAACGCGCTCCTCCCGCAGAGCTTGACTGAATTGTAACGAGTAGTCTACACTGGTGCGGTTCAACTCAGCCTGTGCACGTTGGCCAGTGCAATTGGTCTAGACTGATGTTGAAGTCTTTCAAAAAGGCTGGTACATAGCGCAAGGCTGGATGGTAGGCTATGTTTCGTGCTCCCGTGTGGCTGTTCTCCTGTCTCCTGGGCGTCGATCTCCGTCTACATACATGCATTTTCTGCGTCTTGTGCTGCCGCAAACGCAATGAAGTTCATCATGTCCACTTCACGCCCGCGGTTCGGCGACATTCAGCACAATCCGTGTGGGCAGTAGTAGTCTACGCAGCAAAATTGATTACGCTAACATATACTTGTAGGATAAAGTATTCAATCCGTGCTTTGGGTTGAGGGTTAGGGTTGGGGATAGGGTCTGCGCGCCCCCTCCCTGTTCTTTTTCTAGATACTTTGAAAATCCTGCGTAGGCGGTACTAGTAGTCGACGCAGCAGAATTGATTACGTAAACATATGTGGGATAAAGTATTGAGTCCGTGCTTTGGGGTGAGGGTTAGGGTTCGGGATAGGGTCTGCGTGCCCCCTACCTATTCTTTTTCTACATGCTCTTAACATCTGCGTAGGCGATCCGTGGGCAGAGAGCATCCATCCAGTGTTGCCGCCACCGCTTTTTGCCACACTATGCACTGACATTCGTGTTTTCGGTAATAATCTTGCAGCGGAGTGTTCGACGCGGAAATACATCCAGACCTACCCCCGGCGGGTACCATGGCTGGGCTTGTCCGCTACTACCTTCGAAGAGCGAAGGCGGCAGTGTTCGAGATGAGACCCGATAGGAACAGCGACAGCAGCAGCAAAGGGGAGAAGTCAACGGGATCGGATACAGACACCGTCGGTCGAAGCGTTGCGAGGGATGGAATCGAGGGGGGTTATCTCGTCCGCACCGTCCCGGTGCAACTGTCGCGACAAAAGGCGAGAGACGCAGCATGTGCTGATGGTGATGCGCTCCGAAGGCAACCTTTAGGCAAATAGTTCACATGCTACAACGGTATGAACGAGCGCATCTTATGTCGAAGGTGGGACAAGAACAGAGGCTGATACGTCAAAAACATACAGCCGACTGGCGCCAGAATGGATGGGAAGATTTTCATAACAGCAACATTGGCCACGTCTCGGTACCGGACGCTGGAGGCATGCTGCTTGTTCGCACCTTGAACGAGCGTGGAGAGCACACGACCGATGAGCGTGTTTACGTTGACCTTTAACAGATACGTACATTTTATGGAATTGTACCTTTTGATCGTCGCACTACCGAAAACATCGTATCTGACGCCCCCCCTCCCCGTGGCCGTGACACACACACACATACGTGCTTGCTGCAGGAGCTTCGACGACGCCTCGCTGTAGCGGCAGGGGTAGATGCAGAGGGGGCCAAAGTCCCGAACGTGCGGCCTGCCGATGCGCTGTTGCTGGTGCGTTTGTGGTTGCGTGGGGGTTTGTATTGGTCATTACCCGCAAAAGAGGGTCTTGACCTGTGACTCTTTTCGCGAAAGTGTCCCGTTCTCACGAACTTTCCACCGTTCCAAAAAGCGGGGGACTACGTATTGGGCGAGAGCTAACGTAGGCTAAACCACAGCCCCCAAGAGACGGGTTTCACCTATGGCATCCACATTGGCACACGCCATGACTTTGCCAGACAGTGCTGTCTGCGGTTTGTTTTCGCCAGAGCTTGTATGTCACTGATCTCGACGTGTTGCGATCCGCCATGTGTCATATGTCATGTGCCATGTGTGTCTTGGCAAGGTTTCTGGAAGCCACCCCGGGCGACGCCTGCCGTTCGCCAAGAGTTTCCTCATGGACGTCTACGACGAGCTTCGCTTGGCAACAAGCATGCGAAATAGGTGAGAGCCTTCTAGGCGGAGCCGACGAGAAGCAGACTGGTCACGAAAGCAATGCGCTCTAGTGTTTTATTTTTGTTCAAGGCGAATAATCTCGGCGGATCGCTGTTTGTCAACTCTCAACACGACGGTCACCAAACTCTTTCCTTGGATACAACGGTGAACCGGTTTTCCATGCTCGTTGTCACATACAGTATAATATTTTTCCGTTTGGCGGCTGTGTCTTGCAATCGCGCAACCCCTCACTCGCAAGCGGCCATTTGCCGAAGGGTTTGGCCCTTTGGGCAGTCGCGAACCCTTTGACGGAGGTGGACGAGGCGGGGATTGACCGCGTTCGGAAGAAGGTGGAGCTCGGGGCCGAGGTTATTCTCACGCAGCCGCCTCTTGCTTGGGAACTATTCGAACGGTGAGAGAAGACCTTCGGAGAAATCACTGGCCTTGCGGCCTGTTGTACCACAATACGTTGTAGCGCCAAGCCGCCGGACGAGCGCGTGAAGTATCTACCCTAAATGTTACCGTGTCTATGCAGCGGTAGGGGCTTGTTCAGCACCCCCCTTTTATACCCGGTTCGTGGTGACCTCCACGCCAATGGAAAACAAACGGGTGGCACTCGGCTCACGCAAAATAATGGCCGTGGTTGACAACCATTCTCCAGGTGGCTTCAAGGCGTTCATACCAGCGGGGCTCTGGGAGGAAGTGCCGCGGCGAGAAACGACGGATTGGCAAAGCCCGGGGAGGGGACGGATGCCACGATGAAGATGTTCGAAGCGTCCGGGTCGACGGGCGAAGAGCGGTCTACGCGCCGCCCGACTGCCGCAGCAGAGGGACAAAGAGGAGGAGACTCCACAGCGAGGATTCTGGTAGGGTTGCCTGTGATCACCGCACCGAAGGGGCTCCGCTTCTGGCTCAACCTGTGCGGGTTGCACGACAATCCGGGTGTCTGCAAGCAGGCCTTCGAGGCCTTCGGACACCCTTCATCGGTGGTGGCGAGGACGGGGACTGAGGAACCACATGGACATCCCGCCGGGGAAAAGCAAGCATCAGCCGTTGCTGGGTCGACTCCGTCCCCGTACGGACAGGAGTGGTTGGAGACTACGATGTTGAAGCTCAAGAGTCTGGACGGGAGCGGGTTGGGCGTGGCAGGGGTGCATCTCATGGCGCCTGGCCGAGCGCCCCGGCGGCGGGCGATACAGCTTGCCGCTGCAGGATTTTTCGGGGAACCTCGCTGATGCCGTTGTTCTATTTGTAACCCGTAATTTTTCATTCTCAACCCGTCAAACCAAGCCGTGTGCTCCACATTGTACTCTCACGAGTCTCTTCTCTTCTCGTTGTTAAGTTTTTTCCCCGCACACCCTTACCATCGGTGCTCGAGTCACGATACTGACAAGGGTGGAAGTGCCACACAATTTTATCACAATGGCCAACAAGCATCCCCCCCTTCGCCGAAGTTTTTTGCCCCCGTGGCCTCATTTATCACGGCCAGCTTGTAACAGCTCTACACCCACAACGTGCGGGGCCAAGCCGCTCACCTTGAACAAATACAATTCTCCACCAATACACGGCGAGTTTCTGTGTACATGAATCACATCCTCCCACGGTACCCCATTGGACCAGGGCATCGGTAGCCCCCCACATCCGAAGACCATGCGTATGGCATTTTTGTGTACAGTCATACTGGCACCCGAATCCCCTTCTCCTTTCCTCGGAAAACCCCGAAAATACAAACAAGCCGGAAAAAGAGACAACACGAGCAACATGCCCGACTCTTCACTCAATAACGCCAAGCGCCACCCATTCCAACTCGAAATGGCGCAAGGCGCCCTCCTCACTAAACAACCAATTGCGCTGCAGTCCCCCTCCCCCGACCTCCATTTTCCCTCTTCCTTTCCGTTACACAGTGTAGTGTTGAGGAAAATCCGAAGCGGTGGTTCAGCCGGAAGCTGCAGCAGTCACCTAACCCCGCTGTTACTGCCGACATACATCGGGACCCTTTTAACACGCAGTCCCCGCCCCCCGCCCCCTCGAAAAAAATTTCAAACGATATGAACACGTACACAGGAAGGACCGACCAAGTGTCCAGGGAGCCCCCTCCCAGCCCATATTTATGTACATCTCCCCACTGGACGCGTCGATTGTGGATCCGGACGCATATGCCGAATTCCCCTGAAAAGGGCACAACGCCCTCTCCACCCCTTCGCTATCAGGGGCTGTTAAGTCTGTAAACAAGCACGCCCCCGTGGGCACACGCCACCATTGCCATTTTTTCCGATCGCTTTTCCGGCCGAACAAAACACACCTGCCCCCCGGGGGTCGCTACCGACGAGTGCCGTGGGCGAACAGGCGTGGCGTTTTGCCATCCAAGCTGTCTTTGGATAACACCTTGCTAGAAAGCCCCCGCTAACACGCATTTCGTCCACCGGCGACATCGCATGTTCTTCGCCAACTTTGGTTAACTCCGCTCGGTTTGTTCTAGCTCAGAGTGCTGCTCGTGTCCTCATCGCTTGTTCGCCCTTCTTGGCTACGTCGCATGATGAAGCGCCCGACGCAAGTAGGCTGTTCGGCGCGGGAGTGAGGTGTGTCGGAGAGGATGGTGCGAGGGGGGAACGGAGGGCAAACGGAGCGAAGTGAGCCGGCAGAAGGAGAACAATGGCAACCCACCGAACGTGGACCGCCGCAATCAGACTCAAAGCAGGCTTCGGCACGATCGGCGACAATGACAATAACTCATTTCCGGAAGATTGAGTCGTTCGTCTATGGCTGACAATGCTTTTCCCATTCTGTGACTCCAGTAATTTTGCCAGCAAATTAAAACATTAAAACGAAGTATACGTGAGGGGCCGAACCTGCGCCTGTAGTCAGGCAGTGAGCCTATATAAACACGTACATATCAGCCAAAGAAGAGCGTGCAAACTTCGGGCGACTCCCGGCACTGAACACTAGAGCTACTTGGAGAGGGCAAAGCGTCGGGTACGTATCCCCCCCCCCCCCC